AGAGAGAGAAAAACTGGCTTCTTGGTTTACATTTCTTCCCTAAAAATATAACTTTCTCATATATTTCCATTGAAACTTTGTACATTGTTGAAAAACGTCAAGGAATTGATTTGATTGCTCAAAAAGGAAGGTCACTATCTTTTTTTCTGTGGATCAACATGGAAATATGCAACATTTTCTCCCATTGAGGCAGATGACGAAATTTTTAACTCTATAACGCTTTTAAGTGACTTGCATCTAATTTCTCCTTACAACATCACTCCTGAATCACACATTAAGGTCACAAGAATAAAGGAAATGAACACCAAATAAAGAAGCTCTTGATTGTTACACAAATTCTCCTTTTCAGCACCTTAGAAAGTAGACAAAAAACAGAATGGAGAATGTGCATACTGATGTTAGGGTGTAAAGGGTTAAAGAGTTCATACATTAGAAACTCAGATCAGAAATTTAGTCCCTTTAAATGAAATTAAAACTTGAGTTCTGTGTAAGATGTTAGCAAGAAGTACCTTGTTCATCCTCTCCGAGTTTAATACAAGAATTTTCATCTATCTTCTGTTGTGCAGCTTTTTCTTGCTCACTGTCCCATTCCACATTGTCCCTGTATAAACTGTAGCGTCAGTGACGAGCAGAAAATGGAAATCCCTGATTCAAACATTCGCGCCAAAGCAATTCTCAATCGCATCAAATTAGTTCTCGCGGCTGTTTCCTGAACGCTTAACCGCACAACATCATCCTTGAATAGAATAAATAAAGTCTCATATATGTCTCACCAAGCATTATGCTCAAAAACTTTGGCTGGATCAGAGAGGAATCGATTTCCAAACTGGGGCCTCGAACAATCCGCACCGTCCGCCATCTTGAAAGAAGTATTCAGACCAATTGGTACGCGGGCTCAAGGAATAGATCAGTTCCTAGACTACCGACAAATGAGCACTCGCCCTTAACTGGCCGTGTAGATGATATATAGATTAGCGCTTCCTTTCCGGAGAGAGAAGTTTCCTTTTGGTTTAGTAGATTAATTTTCAAATTGACCAACAGAAAATGGTATTCATAAACGATCATTGTTAACCGCATCTATAATCGTATTAAAACAGGACACGAAAGAAATAGATTTAGTCTAAATTTAATTTTTTATGACATCTTTCTCTCGTCAAATTATAGGATCTGTGGTCTTCAAGTTTGAGAAACTGTCCTCTCTCCCCCCCTCTGTAGAAACGATAGCGAAAGTCATGAATCATAAACCTCAAACGAACAAAAGTCTTTCTAGACTACGAGCAATCCTTCTTTTTCTGAGAAGTCCGTCGCGCGTTTGAAAAACTGAAATCAGTAAAAAAAAATTGATGTTAGCGCGCCGCGGGAAGCTCTTGGAGTAAGGCGCTCGAGCATGGTACATCACCATATAGTTAGTATTTTGCTTTCTTTCCGTTTTATCTAATTTGTGAAAGGTACTGTTTTAAAAGCGATCCTCAACGATAACTCATCAAATAATTCTCAAAGTTTCCTGCAGCGACAGTTTCCCCGAGACTCAACACCTCGTCAGAAAAATCGCGAGCTTTCTTAACGATCCGTATTCAACAAATCTTTTTCATAACTCTTCAATCAATATTCTACTTCATGAAGGAGATGAACCATGCTATTCACCGGCAAACAGCAACCAGACATAGCTGGTAACCTTTTTGCTATTCGCTTCAAGTTGTTTTTACACCAAAGTGAAAGTAATTTTGCATTTACAGTGGATAAAGGTTTTCTCCGCAATTTTTTTACAGGGTCGACAAAGAATTGTAGAATAAGTACACTCAGGGTCCATTTTTTTCGTCGTAATGATCAAGGTGAAACTGACTATTGACTCCTAACTGTGAACAACGCCTAATAAACGATGCATCGAATTCTGTGTTAAGTATTTTAATTCGTACGCCAAAGTCAGTGAGACTAATAAGAAATACTTTTCGTGCTTCCATACGGGAAGCAAGCGATAAACAACATAGGGTAGCCGATGGTCAACGTGCATCAAGTCAAATGAGTACCTTGACTCAAAGTTCCTGAAAAATATAGTGGCCTATGCGTGGTTGTCCTTACGAGCAAAGGTGATCCATGTTTGTCAATGCATAAGAAGGCAGTTATTCGCTAAAAAAAATACCGCAATGAGGGTTTTTTTTCCGTCAGGTGCAATCCTGAAGAGATGATTAGTGAAGGGATAACAGGACTGAATATTTTGCCAAAACAGTTATGCTACTCCAGCGATAGTCTCCACACCGAAACGTACGGGGGAGGCTCTACCTCCCCCAAATTTTCGTTTGAGGATCTACAGCGCCCCATCCCCCATCCCCCATCCCCCACCCCCCCCCCCAAAATTCCGCCCCCTATGTTAAGACGGAAAGCGCATATTTTAATCCATTTCTCCCTGATTCACGCAAGCTGTTTCGGTTTTCTGATACTGACCGCTTTAGACTATTCTTTTAACTCAATCACAAGAGAAACCAAAACGTTTTTAGCATTCTTCACGCTATGGTTTTCGTTTTTCAGCTTTCACATGGTACTTGAGCTGTTTACAATGACAATCTCTACAGATTTGCTATTCACATAAATACAGAAACTAATAAATATATTTGTTTCTTTGTTAAAATGACAACAGGAGTGAACAAGTAAGTTTCTAACCGATCAGTCAGGGAAAGGAGCGAGCTAAAGTGACCATCAAGTCACCCTTCATCATGCTTAACAACGGAAACCGCTGGCTCAACTATTCTCTGCTGTTTTGATTTCGACCAAAAAATTACTTGTGCTACCTAATTTTCGGACAATTATCTCTTCTACGCTTTTTTCCTTGCTTTTCCATAAATGCTGTCCAGTGTGAGTCCAGCGAAAACCAAAAACACACCAAGCCATTGGCGGGTGATAAGCGAATTTCCAAACAAGAGCACTGAGGCGAGGATTGTAAAGAATTTACGAGTTGTGGTGATTATGGAGCAGGTCAGTGGGCCAAAGTTAGCCACAGTCATGAAGATGAAATTCTGTGATGGAAATAAAATCAGAAAAGAAATTTAACACTATTTAATCCATGTAGTATTATTGATTACGTTTGTTAACCCTTAAACTCCTGGGAACTAGCTGTTAATTCTCCCCTCCAGCTGCTAAACATTTCCTTGTAAATTAGTTTTGAGAATTTGGTGTTAGATCAAGATGGCAACTTCTACCTGATAAGTTTGAGTATTCTCATTACCTGTTTGTTAGATAATGTACGGATATCACAGAGAGAAGTTACATGTTGATCACTTCTGGGAGTCAAAGGATTAAGGAGGAGACCACGGCACCCATTTGCCTCGCTCACAAGATGAGGCTTCGTGGCTCCATTGGTGGTGGCACCCAAGTAGTGTATGAGAGGCGAGAGGTTTAAGCCCATGCCTTAGTTCTTTTTTCCAGGCCCTTTCCGAAATTTCCTTAACTGAAGTTTACCGCACAGAAAAACTCCTGACTCATTCCCAGTCTAACGGCGGCAACCGACGCAGGTAGAATGGGAACGTGAAGTGTAATGGGTAGCGTGAAAGTGAGAGAGGTCTCCTCGCCTTCTCCCCTACTTTACCAACGCAAACACTTTGGAAACGACTGAGGATGGTCAAGAAAAATTGGTAACTTATGAAACACACTTTAAAATATGATTCACTTCATATGTTATTTTCTTTCGAGACACCAGCACTACCCTACTGAAGGGCGTTCGTTTTGGGAATACAATGGCGATCATGAAACAAATTCGACCTCCAGGGTAAGTCAAGTATTGCAGGACTCTCTGATTCCCTAACTGAAAACAAACTGGCGTCGGAAAAACTTTCTTAAATCCCTGCACAAAAATTTTGCAAGAACGAACTGCTCTGTTTAGGTTTCATATTAAGTACGAATTCATGAGCTGTTTTTCGGTGTACCTACCGAAGTAGGCTATGATCAGCCCTTCCTTTCCGTCATATTCCGTCACGATTTCTATTGGCTTGCGGGTCGAGATACGCTTTATAGGGACACCTCGTTGTTTACAACCGTAAACTTCTGGTAAAAAAGAACCCACGATTTTCAAAGGTTTTCAAGTGGAACCGCACGCGAGTTAGTTGGAACGTACGGGCATTTGCATAATATTTTGTGATAAAAATCAAAAATTTAGGTAAAACATGAATCACGAAAAGAATTTCCGAAACATGTGATAAAACAAAGAGAAAACGCCATATGTAGCTCTTACGCAAACTCAAGTTTGATAAAAGCTCACGTAAATCGAAACACGAGATAAAAACTGAACAGTGAAGCGTTAACGGAACTAAAGATCTTGATTTCAAGGGAAAAAGGTAAATTACCAATAAACAGAGATGCGTCTCACCATATCATGCAAGTGCATATGAATCTTAACTGATGTATGAACGTGTGTGGATAACTATTAAGTCTTGCAAAACATTATTCTATTTAGAATGTGGCATCTTTAGCCCCAACTCTCTTTTCTTCATCGAATTTTTTTAGCTATTTTGAAAATAGCATTGTGTGATGACCGGACACTAGATTGGTAAACGATAGTTCTAGAGTTTCGCTGCTTGCTGATTAGATAGGGTCAACTAAAAGATCAGAATATCAATTCTTTTAAACCGGCCGCCTTACACTCCTTTCCAACAGTTTTTGTTGATTAATTTGTCACTCTTTTTCCTAGTGCGCTTGACAGTAAGTCACATGTGCCAAGAGAACTTGGACATTACTTACCATCAGGAGGTGACCGAGATGCAATTAGACGAGATCACAACTTTTCCAGACAGATTTTCACACAATATATTTAACTCTAACCATAAATTTCAAGTATGACACCTAATCAAATATAGCACAAAGTGCCGCCAAATCTTTATTTACGTCATAATATTCCTCAGAAATTTCTTTCCGCACTAAACGTTAATTTTCTGCTATTCCTAGCGGCTACAAGTCTAATTTCCCACCATCATCCTTGGGATGCAAACCTATTTTCAACTAAAGCCACTAAATTTATCGCCTTTTTATTAACGTAGCACGCTAAATTTCCCGCTATTTCCACCGCGTACAATTATAGTTTCCCGCCATTATCCTCGCGAAGCGAATCAATTTTTCAGCTGAGGTCACCTAGTTTCCCGCCATTTTTTCAATGCAGCATGCCAAATTTCCCGATGCAGGGAAACTATACCAGTTTATTCGCGCTATTTCTCTCCTACAAATTATTTCCTCAATATCAGACATGATTCCTGCCTTTGTTTTCCGCAATCAGACCGAGTTCACGCTATTTTCTGACAATCAGACACAATTTCCCACCTTTCTCTTGCGGCTTCCTGTAAAACTCTCCGCACAACTAATTCAAATGAATACGAAAGGGCTTATCTACATTATCGGAAATAGACTAATTTTTACAGCCCACAAAAAGCATCAAACACAGTTCACCAAATACCCTCTAAATTCACAATCAACATAGGCGAATTAAAAGTTTTAATAAAATACAGAACGTATCCCCCTCTGTCACAAACACAGACCGAAAACTTGAGTGACTTAAGAACAAAGGGATTCGTCAATATTGTTATTGCAAGAAAAAACTGAATTAAGGTTAATGACAGTCTTGAGGACCACTTGGTTTCCTCCGGCATTTAAACCAACTGTGTTTTATCTTAATGACGTTGGTAGCCCGTCGCGATATATTTCGAAATATTTAGTGGAAAATGAACCTAAACGATTTTATACAATCATACATACAATCGAGAGTTTCATCGACTTCCTAATCGTAACGCAATTTAGCGCCAAATTAGATGTCGTATCTGCTTGCGAAAAATTATCTCACCTGCGTAATTCGATTGGTTGCTGCACAGGAAGCAATAACAGTTGCTGGTTATAACAAAAGGCGCTGACAGTAACACATTAAGAAGACAAATTTGCAACACAGCTACCACCACCAGAGTCCTCAACTTGCAAGGGACAGTGAGTCTTCAAAAGCTCGAAAACGCCGTGGTTTTAATCAGATAAAAGCGGAATAAAACTAAAAACCACGTTTTAAAGTCGACAGGTAAGAAAAAAACTATTGCTACGTACTTTATGAAGGAATATCATACTTCATTCGGCGACTTTTCCCACAAGAGCATGCAAAGTCCTCCGAATCGAATTCAAATTCAATTTCTGGGCAACGTTTTCAAAAGTCAGTGGAGAAGTAATATCAAACTGCGCTCGCTTGTTGAAGTTTTCCAAGCTACATACTACGCAAAACAAACAATAAGAAAGTAAAACTTTAATTGCGAAATGTCATATACAGGTACAGATACCAGAAATAGTGAAGGAACGATACTGAAATTCAGTGAATTACGCGATATTCTGCTTGAGGTTACGAAAATAAAAGAAAGCGTCATGTATCGGGAAGTCTTTCATCTCACATAAAAATTCGTCATATCGTAATGATAATCAAAACTGCTCGCCTCGAGCTATAAAACGAGACGCAATTTAAATATTACTAAAATATCATCACAATAGAATAATACCGGCTGAGAAAAAATGCCTTAAAAGGCACTTGCATCAGAGAGATAACGCGTTAAAGCAGTAATGCGCCAAAAAAAACAACAGTTCTTGACTGAATTTGAGCTTAGAAGAGCGATTACTAAGGACTAAAAAAAAGCCTTTTCAATGACTAAATGGTAAAAAAGTGCAGATGTCAAGGCATGGTTAAATAAGTCATTTCCGCACCACAAAAGCAAACGCCATTAAAAAAAAAGTAAACTTTGCACAGAGGACAAAATTGAAAAATTATTTAATAGGAAATTAACTGCATATCGAAGTGAAATTTATGACCACTAAATGCTCACTTTTATTTTGTTTTTATTTTGCTGCATTATTCTACAGTTTTGACTTTTCGTCGAATGTCATTTCGCGGGTAAACGAAAACGACGTGAAATGCTCTCAGTTGACGAAAAAGTCAATAACATGTAATTGAACTGAACTGTGGAGCTTGGCTAAAGATCAGGCAGAATTTCAAAAGTGTCACGACGAGAAATATTATAGTTATAATCTGTTTGAAACAGAGGCGAACTGTCTCGTTAGCTGCCTCCTTTGTGCGCACAAAAAATAGAAAGAAAAAACTAGGAAAAAAATTTTGAATCAAGGAAAAAATTTATATGTTAAAAAAGAGCAAACAAATATTTAGTTGCTGGATGAGAGCCCAAAAAGTAAATCCGCCAATTTAGAACGAAGTTCACCATGTACACATGGTATGCAGTTTCTAATTCAATTTCTAAGCTCTAAAACCCTTCTTCAAAGTAACTACATTAATAAAGAACCTGCAAACCTCATTATTTTTGTCCTACTTTTTAGAAATGACTTTTAAATAAAAGTTTTACAATTTCGGGAAAAATGTAAGAAACCTGGAGACTCCCAAAAAGTTCCGAGGACAATCGTTTACAAGTGCTGTTGTTTCAACAAGTTTACACGTTCCTTGACCTTACCCACATTACAATTATTTTTTCGACAACCGCCAAAGTTCCTTCGATTTAATAACTACCACAGACTGTTATTGAACATACCGAGTGTGAATTTTATCACTGACAATTTGACACTTCCACCTTAAACCAGACGAACGAAAAATCCCGCAGATGTCAGAAATAAATTTGCGGTGTGCGGTCACGTACACAAAGTGGTCCAAAATGATTGCAGGAAATCCCACCTAAGAGCAATTTTTAGCTAAGTATCGGAATTAATCTGACATCTCATTGGTTTTGCATCACTGTACACCGTGATTGGTTAAAAATTTGCGCCAATCTTTAAGCCAATACAATTTTTACCAAAAAATCACTCCCGACTTACTCGCGTTTTCCCGCGCTTCAGGCTCGCTCGCTCAGGTTTGCACAGCTGAATTTCGTTAGAATTATTCCTTCTTTTGTTGTGTTCTCAGGCAAGACATGATATCCTGACAGTGCCTTTCCTCACCCAGGAGTAAAAATGGGTACCGAAAACTTCGGATGGGGGGGGTGAGAAAGAAAACCTGGTGAAATTGTGGAGAAGAGGGGGTTGACCTGTGATGGGACTAGTACCTTACCCAGGGGAGGGGGGAGTTGAAACCGTCTGGGATATGCTTCAAGTGCTATTCTAGTCAGTCTCGAGTGTGACTTGAAACAAAGATAACATCGAAATAAATCGCTCTGAGTCGGCTCCATTAACACAATTTGCTTTCTGTTTCTAGACTACAATAATCTGCCATGAACTGCCATGAACCTTCCGTGAACGTCACGGATACAACGAACAACGAAACAAATCAAGGCGAACTACAAGGTTACATTTCAATACCAAGCCTACTTGGCTGGGCGATATCGTATGCTATTGTAGCAATAGCCATCATCGTCGGAAACTCGCTGACAATCGCAGCATTCAGCACAAACAAAAAGCTCGCCAACGCCCGCACCAACTACTTCTTAGTGAGCCTGGGGATAGCGGATTTTATGGTTGGCGCATGCTCAATACCGATGTACGTAACTGAAATGCTGTTTTATTATCTACGTAAAAACGAGGCCAGAATCCGGTTTAACGAGATTTACCTGCCTATCGACGCGTTTATGGGTTTCGCGTCAATCTTTGCGCTCGTCGCCATAGCGCTGGATCGCGCATACTCTGTGTTCCGCCCTCACAAGCACAAAACTATCACCAAAGCGACTTATTTGATGGAGATCGGCCTGGTCTGGTTCTTAGCGGCTTGCGTTGCTGGGATTCGCGTTCTGAGCAATTTCACCAGCAAAGACCTGCTAAAAACTGTCTTCAACTACGCCGTGCTTGTCTGCGTGTTCACTTCATTGATTTTAATTTCTGTCGCTTACGCTATGATTTGGCACAAGGTTAGGAAGCCTGTGAGCCAAAACCACAGGACAGGCACGAAACAAGAAAAAAAGCTAGCGGTAACGCTGTCCTTAATCACAGTTGTGTTCATCCTCACGTGGGTCCCTTTCTACATTATGAACATTATCATCATGTTCTGCAAAGACTGTTATGTTCTCCAGTTGATTTACTTCGCAAAGTTTTTGCACTATAGCAATTCTTTCGCCAATTTCATCATCTACGTGCTCAAGATTCGAGAATTCCGGAAGACCGTGACGAAACTCTTGCGGGGCAAAAGAAAGAAAACCTCCCCAAGTCCACAAAAAAGTAAAACCTTGGTTAATTCTAAGGAAGAACCGATCTCCATGCAAGGCATAAGACTTAGGGGATTCACTCATCCCCTGGAAAATCGTGACCTTGATTTGATAACTGCTCACCAATCAGTGTGAACTTGGCAGGTCTTTACAGCCAATCAGATGCAGCCTACACTATACAAGCTCACTCTTGTTTAATTGTTGTTACTGCTGTTCATTTTCGTTTTTATTTTAGTCCCATAACCAATCACTTTTCTGAAACCTTTGACCCCTGAGAGCCACTAGTATCGAATTTCTCATCTCTGAATCAAACATTGAGGCCATGAAAATAAAGGAAATGATCACCAACTAAAGAAGCTCTTGATCGTTAAACAAATTTTCTTTGTCAGCACCTTAGGAAATGTATAGAGAACAGTATGGAGAATATGCACACTGAGCGGCCCGAGAATCTGTAATACGTTTGTATTAGAGCAAATTTCAATTGAGTGTATAAAGTAACCCGGGATTGCTCTGGCATCGCTTCAATTCGCTTTGTGATTGGTCAAGAAAAATTCGCACCACTTTTTAAACCAATCAGATTCAAAATTGAAACCAATCGCGATTTGGTCACCCGCGTTTTTCCCGCGCTTTAGGCAGTTTGATAGTTTTTATTTTGAGTTCTCATTGGCTCTGAAAGGTCTTTTCCTTTTTTCTGATTGGCCGCTGCGATTGCTTTTGTTTTAGTTTTACGACACAATATCGAAAAGAGCCCTAAAAAGACAGTACCTAATAAGGATTATACTCGTTCTTAAAACTGGTCATACCTGTCCTATAGCACTAGCCAGACTGAATGTGAATATGTGTAGTAGAACGTAAGGATACCGCTGGCAAAATGCAATGAACTGGAAGACTTCACCACTTGTCAAGAGAGCTGTGGACGTAATAAGAAAAGACTTAACGGTGGTTCTTCAAAAATAATAAAACTCAACTGCAACTGCTCAAAGAGTACATCAAGTGCTATCAGTTAAACTAAGGACAAAAAAGGCTGCAGTTTATGATTTCCCTCGAAATATAAGTTGACTCAAAAGTCACTATTAAAAAATATAAACGCCAAGGAGAAAAAAGTAAAATGTGCGAACTAAAGTTTGCCAAGTCCCAGATCACATCCAAATCGCTTCAAAAATTGCTTTGAAAATGTTTTACAACAGTGTTCACAAAACTGTTTTAAAAGTGAAGTATGCTCCAAAATCTTTACGATTGAAATCCACCATCAAAAGGTTGATATAAATATGAACTTTCTACCGCGTTTTGAGATTCCAAACAAGGGGCTACATGTAATTGTTCCCAAATTGTTTTGTCCAGGTGTGTAAAACATTTCACCGTAAAAGCCGCCATTTTGAACAAAAGATTTTGTGACCTAGCCACATATGAAAACCACAACGCGCACAATGGAGCATACTTCTCCTCTTCAACTGTTCAGAACTTGTGTATTTTAAAAAAAAAGCTAGCTTTGCTGTTACTTACTTATCGCCAAGATACCAATTGACCAGAGATTCATGTTAAACATCATATGGTGTGACTGGACGTGGTGTTCTGCTCTCATTCTGTCCTGCACCGCACCTGTCAATCCATCACATGTCAGAGATACAAGCTGCAAAAAGAAACAAACTATTAATTTTCAACCACCTAAAATTTAATTCCTCGTGCAAACATTTTACCAGCAAGAGTTGTAAACACATTTTGAAAACCTATAATTCATAGTGCTTTACTTCCACCCTCTCTGTCTCTTTTTCACTCTTGCTCACTCGCTTTCAGCTGCTCATTCATCAAACCTTCTTAGCTTTACAGCAAAAATGCACAAGTTTTTACTTTAATAATCACTACGCTGGCCAAGACACACATTTGTAGCACTTAATCTTTTTTGAATATACCAGTAGTGTTGAAAGTGAGATGGCCTGTCCCATAAGCCTAGTGGCTTCTTGGGTCTCCACATCATGTAGATAAATTTTTTGTACTGATTGAAAGGCAAATAAAATGATGGTGATGATGATGATGCATGTGTGGTCATTTCCTACGTTTTGCTTTGAAATTTTGCACACTAAATTAGTGCCCAGCCGGCCAGAATTGATCCCCTCACTCATGCCTACATTTGACCACTGCATTAAATTGCCATCAAGTCTAAATAGCACACCTCATCATCTAAGCAGCCAAGCATTTACAACCTAAAACAGCTATTGAACCAACTTCCCACCTACCCCCTCCCCAACTCTCTCTTTTCCTCTGAGCTCCCTTCCCACCCCACCCTAAGCCCTACATGTGTGACACTACTTACCAAGAGGAGTTCTCCAAATCCAATCCAGCTTCCACTGTCATTTGATACTTGTTTCTTATTCTACAATTAATCACCAATTTGAAAATTTAGTCTTCTTTTGGTAAGTTTTGAACTTGGTCAGAAAAATGTTGTAGATAGTTGTTATAGATATCCAAAAGTCTGAGGCTTGCATCCTCAGATATATTTAAATTCCACTCTTGTGACAAGTTTGTAATATTTTTCTATATTTACAGCTTATCACCTCACCTCTTTGTACATGAACAGAGCTACTCCACAAACAATAAGAAAAACACATAGGTATTTCAGAAGGGGATATCTTTTCCTTGCTAGAAGAACTCCCAGAATCATAACTGAAAGACAATTAGAAACATATGAATGAAAATGGTTGATTTTAGGCCTGGTGATTTTAGTGAAAGACAATGTTATTCAGTGAATAAAACACTGGTATACTCAAAAGAATGCCCAAATCGCATCATTTCCTGAATACCATCATCTTAAACCAAAAAACCAGGGTTAAAATCTAACAATATTCACTAACATCATCAATGCACACACATCAACATTCCTTTCCTAGCAGTATGCAGGAAGTTTGTCAACATGGACAGCACAGCCTGCCACCCCGCTCCTACAGCTCACTCAATTCATTACTGATCTATGATTATACCTAAAGCTCCCTGGTAGAGCATCCAAACCACTAACTGGCCTGACTCCAATTGGGAGCATTCAGAAACATGTTTTTGAGTATTCCTGTGTCATTCATCAAATAATGAAGTCTTCAAATTAGAAACAAAACTAGATTAATTTTGTAATAGTGTAGTTTGATCATCCAGACAAGTGTAGTCCTAAGAAGGACTGTTTTCAGTGGTGGTGACTGACATTTTGACAACCTGAGTGGAAGTCATCATCAGTGTCAACTGAATAGTTGTTTTCAGTCTTATGTTCTTAGTCCAGTTTGTATGAATTGATTGGTCAGTTTTGCTGTGATGTTATTGGCTGTCAGACTCAAGTGGCATAGTTCAGTCATGATTGGTAGGTATAAGGTTAGTTTGTAGCTTTCTTTGATTAAGAATTGTGACAATTTATCACAAATACAGCCATGAAAAAATGTTTCGACTCAGATCAATTTAAACTACAACAAAATTCTCCTCTTTCTAAACTGTCATATTTTATCTGCAATTAAAGTTAGTATGTACATCAATTCATTCCTAATCAATGACAATACCTGCTCTATGTTATCACTCACCTGGAATAGGTTTACATGACTTCCCTAAGACCTACCAGCAAAACAAAATTATGATTAAGTTTCACTTCATGGAAAATAGTAAAAAGAATTATTAGAGTTTATCAGATTAAATTTGAAATATATGGTGACCCTTGCAACCTGGCTTTTTCAAGCAACATTTTTTGCATCAAAGTGAATATTTTCTCAGCCTATGAAAACTGAGTCACTGAAACAAAATAAGCGATCGTATTGCAAGGATTGATCAAGAGGAATTTATACTAACCTGAGTTGGATAGTTCACCCACTGAAGAGCCTTATTACTGGCCAGCATTGCACCAATATAGGTTGTAGCACAGATCCCATACCAGCAGAATGGAGTTGTATCCTTAGCTTCATTTCTGTACGTCAGTTGGATAACTAAAACAGATCAAGAGCAGCATAATTAGTTCACCATCCTCCTGATTATTTTGGTTGTTTAGCATTTTTCTAAACTGGTGAGTCAGACTGATAAATCCATGAGGAGAGTTTTCTTATTAATCAGAAATTTTTGACCTTGTGTGGAAATTCTCTAATAAATAAAGTGATAAAAAGAGGAATTTATCCTCGAGAGTATTAAAAAATTTTCAAGCGAGGTGATAAGAAATAAACATTTGAAGATATATTTTTTTTTACTTAAAACCACATTTTCCGGGCAAAAATTGAAATAAATATATTGTTAACAAAGTGAAGAATTGATTTTCGATCCCAAGAGTGAAAGGTTAATGGATCACAGATGCAAAAATATTTGAAGTACACATTCGTTCCTTTGGCAAAAATCACTGCAACTATCTTTCACTTCATGAAACACTGTCAACCTACCTGTTTTAGCAAAAAGTGCATTCACAATGCACTGAACAAAGACCAATGAGAGAGCATACACAAATTTCTCTTTGTCTTCGCCATAAGATGTTCTTGTTCTGTCCGAGAATATAACACGTATATTGAATTAGGACATGAAAATAAAAGGACAAAACCTTAAACAGGCTATCCTCAGACTTCGAGAAATATTCTAGGCTTGATCACAAAAGAACTCATAAGCCTTGGATCCCAGTTCAACAAAAATATCTTACGTAACTTTAAACCACAATTCCCGAGAGTAATCACAATTAGGAAGTCAACCATTGAATATTGGTATAAAACTACGAACTATCATTGTAAAGAGATTAAAAAATACAGACATTGGTTCGTGCGATTGGGAAAATTTAAGAAGAAGGAATACCGCACTGGTTCTTTGATGAGTGAATGGCGATGAAATTCCTAGAAATTAATCAATTTTTTTCAAAAGTAGTTGAAGACTTGCGTGTGAAAGATCGAAGAAAGTTATCTCATAGTTAGGTGACCAATACTCACATTTTCTCTTGTATAATTCCGTAGTAAAAGTACGATATAAATATTCCCAAGAAACACACTATTAATTTCTTTCTATCTGTAACATACGGAGCCATTTTCGATTCAGAAGATAGTGAGTTTCCAGCTTCAACATCGCCAGAAACCATCTGGAGGATTTTTTCACTACCGGTTTCGAGGAAGCGTGGTTACCTTTCATTGGAGAGCGAAAAAACACGTGACCGGAAGTAAATCGTAGAAAGCTGTTTTAAAATGGTAAGGGAGGGGAAGGTAGGGGCCTTTTTTTTTTTTTTCGGCTCGCTTTAGTTGGAGAGCATAAAGAACGTGGTAGATCAAGACTTTAAAAAGTGAATCTTCAAAAAAAAACTTGACATAAGTAAAGATCAGAGAAAGAGAATGATCTATAATGAATCCTTCTTTTTTCTATCTCTTGCTTACATGTTTCAATACAAGTTTCATACAAAAATAAAATAAATTCAAATCTCCATAACACAAAGTTCTGCTTTAAATTCAAAAATGCAAGGCAAAATATTCCTCTCAAATGTACATTTTTAATTTAATAATATTTCTCACAGAATAACAAATACATTTCAATAGTACACCTCTACAAGAAAAAAATACATAATTATCATGAAAAATGTAGGAAACAAGCAACTGTTAAGTACAAATTTGATGCAGATATTTTTCATTGTAGAATATTCTTGAGAATCTTGCCTTTTGAAAAGTTCAAAGTTAATATAACTTAACTACTTTCAGACTGATAGAAAACAAAACAGTTGACTCACTGCACATGCAACAGAGCAAGAATTAATTGTTTAGACCCAGAAAACATATTTATATGAGCTACATATATATATGAGCTATCCCCATTGTTTGTTCTTGTAATGATTCAACACATTTATTATCTTGAGCCTTACTACCAATACACTTTACAACTTGTTTCAGGGATGTGTGGATCCAGTTTTTTTTCATTCATCAATAAAGAAAACTTTCCTTGGGTTCAATTTTTCTCTTCTTCAACTAGATATCTCACTAGTTCAATGCCTTCACTAATGGGCTAACACTTTAAACCTAAATCTAAACCCTTTTGTCGCCCTCTTGTGAGATAGTATCAGAATTCCTGCACACTTTCATTTAAAGGGATCCAGCGACTGATCAGACTGACTGATAGGGAAAATTAATTCCGTGTTAAGTAGCATCTCATTGTTCACTGACTGATAGCAAGAATTCTAGCTAAGATCAGACAGCATCTTGCTTTTGCCTGTTAAGCTCTTCTAAATCTTTCTTAGCATCTTCAAGCTTTTCTGGAATATAAACAAAATACTTCAACTCATACATTTGCAAACAAAGCTCAACTCACTTTTGTGTCTCTATTTGCAGTCAAACTTCTCTCAATCCCTAACCCTTTAACTCCCAAGATCTGATTTTTAATTCTCCTCTCTAGCTGCTATACATTTCCTTTTCAATCAATTAGAGAATTTGGTATTAGATCAATAATAACATCTTCTACATGATAAGTTTTAAAATTCTCATTACCTGTTTGCTGAACGGTGTATGGATATTATAGGGAGAGGTTACCTCCCAATCACTTCTGGGAATTAAAGGGTTAACAACCTGAGGTAGTCATTCACAGAAAGATAGGACAAAAATTCATTTTTCAAATGTGATTAATGTGCAACTTCTACTTAGAATATCAACAAATCTAAGCCTGATAAAGATGAAGTCAAAGAGACTATTCTACTCCATTATCTTTATAATTAGACAGTATAATTGCTCAGGTACTTTCAAATTCTGTTTAAATTCATTTTCAGGTTGAAACCATTCTGTAAATAAAGGAAGCTTTGCATATAGTATGCTATGATTGTTTTGATTACTTGTATCATGATAGGCATTAATTGAAGCCATGTATGGTCATTGTGATGATAAACTCGCCCAAATTTCAATCTACAAGAAGTTTATTTCACCTTAAATTAATTAACAACATCACTGAAAAGGATTATTAAATTTCTCTGTGTATAAAAGTACAATAACTCTCTGTTGATCTTACTTAAGTAGGAAATAACTTGAAGAAGGAAATTATGGGCTAAGAAAACAAATCTTCCAACGTGTGTTGAGAGCTGACAAACCCATCAGGTGACTGGGTGATCTAAGCACTCTTCAACTAATCAGATCTTAGAGGTAGAAGGGTTGATTCCTGTTAAGTTTTGTAAAACTTAACAGGAATCTTAACAAGTTACGCGCGTTTATACTTACTTTTAAACTGGCCAACCACGAGTGCACGATCAGAAAGAAAAAACACATTCCCAGGTCCTTGCCTTGTGAATACTCTCTTTAAATAAAACGAATAAGACATATCTTGTCAACATAGCAAAAAGGGGAAACACTGTCGTAGACGAATATACAGCTGAATTACAAACCTTTTTCGGTTGTAGACAGCTGAGTTCGTGGTTTGTAACTTCCAGTTCTTTTATCTACAACCATAGAGGGTACATTTTAACATCAGAACCCTTAACTGACGGAAATGTTGAGCGATAATACCTCGTATAGAGTCTGTGAAATTTTAACATCTAGTGACTCCAGTCCTCTCATCAACTTTGCTTCTGGACTATCCGCCATATTGGATGTTGGGTTTATTTGGGATCCAGTCTTACTCGTTTTTAGTGCGACTCGAGACTTGACGATTGATATATATATTGAATGACGACTGATATGATGTTGTCTCGCGCTGTCTCGCGCAAGATATAGCGTGTTAAGCCACGACTATGACGTCAATATTTTAGTCTGTTTCGCGGAACCAAGCCGAGCGCTGTTTTTTGGCGAGAGGAAAAAAAACATCGTTACCATGAAGAGAATAATGAAATTGCTCATTGCGTCGGCATTACTGCTTTCGTTGACGAAAGCTGCACAATCTGTGAAACAAGACGGTAAGATTCATTCCCTTATAAAGAGGATTTCAAGGGTTTCTACTTTCCCCGCACCAAAATTTTTCCGCCACGTTTTAATGAAACAGTTTTAAGCCTCTTTCTTTCCCCAAGGAAATAACTGTTTTACCGGGTGTTCATTTCCTACAAGTGAGAATATTCAGAACAGCCTTGACAAAAACTCAAGGGGTGCTTTGCCAACGGTTAATTTTTCAGACTTTTCAAAACCTTTTGCAAGTTACAAACGAGTTTGCAGTTGCCATAGTAATTCAGCTGGTATTACGCGCCAGCCAGCGCCGAGAGCACGTGCGCACTAAACGGCTCTAAGTTATTTTTGAAGCACGCGCTCCGTCACCTCTTACTCATTAAGATAATCCACTGTTTTACTTCTTCTTTTTTTGTTTTTACTTTGTTTGACCCAAAGGGTTTTGTTGCAAATCACCAAAGAAAAAATTTCATATTTTCAAAACGGCTATATTTCATATCATCCACATTTTGCAATGCAAAATAGCAACACGCTATGCTGATGATATTGCTGGTGATAACTATATTTTATTTTTTTCTCTTCTCAAACAATTTTCAAGTCAATGAATGGCGAGAGCTATCTCTCAAAGATTTTAAAGAAGAAACGTCCGTGGTCGGAACTTGGAACGATAAGGTTGATTAATTACAGAAAAATAACTCTGATGAATGATGTAATTGTTTTTATAAGGCATACTTTAAGTAAAAAGAGGAACAAATTCCTCCCGGATTTGACGAGAGTTAAAAGAAAAGAAAACAACAAAAAGAATGTTTTCGAATTTTGGACTTAAGACTTCGCCATTTTGAATTTTACTTAACAGTCTGGGCCGAGTTGTTCAAAGCTGGGTTAAGATTGAACTTGGGGTTAGAGTGAAATTTGATTTAAGATCTGAAAGCTTGAAGAGCAAATTTAGTTTATTTCTTTTTGACTACAATTTGATTCTGGAAGTTCCTTGCAATAAAGGATCTGAAAGTAAAAAAAAGGGGGGGGGGGAAGTGAGTTTTAACTGTCAAAGACCTCTCCAGTATATTTTAACCCGCATTTCAAGTTACCTATTTGTTTTTCATGAAACTCGGGGAGGGGGGAGGGGGGAAGGGTAGGGGTTTATTTCTTTTTGACTACAATTGACTACAATTTGATTCTGGAAGTTCCTTGCAATTAAGGATCTGAAAGTAAAAAAAGAAAGGGGGGGGCAAGTGAGTTTTAACTGTCAAAGACCTCTCGAGTATATTTTAACCCGCAGTTCAAGTTACCTATTTGTTTTTCATGAAACTTTGACTTTGGTACAGGAATATGCGATAAGGATTCAAATGTCGTCTCTGGATCTGGATATGAAACTCGTCTTCTCCGAAGACCAAAGCGCTGAAGGCCATGGGAAGGATTTACCTAAACTGAGAGAGGTATTTTACAACGTGTTTAGTTTACGGTTTCCTGTGTTCATTTTGTTGACATCAAGTTTATAGGTGGAGATTCGAAATGAAAATTTCATAGCTCACCATCACCAAACTATTGGTAATTGTAATTGATGTTAAACGTAAAACAACGAATGGCCCGGAAAGAGTGTATTTAGTTCATCGATCCCTTGTGTAAGCTAACGGTAACGAAACGGTAAGTATTTGCCGTCCCAAAGGGTAGATTTTTTCAACAACAACAAAAGCAACAACTTTATTTGTATCCAACAGTTACAGGCAAATTAAAGCAATTATAAACTATTTAGAAAGTGGAACGTTTTGAGTCTGGTAAATGTGGATAGCCTCTCGATAAGATGCTTACTTCAACATACTCACTGTCTCTTGACAACGCCCAACACGTATCCTTGATTTGAGTCATACCTTAGACCTTTTAACGATGCTAACATCCCAGGACAGAAAAGATTGTATGAAATTCGATGGCAAAGGCTATAAAAAGCCCGTTAGCGCCACTATTTCCTAAGGTCTAAATGCGCATGCGTAAATCGTGACCTAGCCTCTTAAAGGTCCTTGGCCGTGTGAGGTTTTCAAGTGTACTGCAAGAGCGTATCGTGATTATTTGTCTGTCAACTTCAAAGGAATAATAGAGAAAGAGAGGTAATCAAAATATACCAGCGCTTATTTAATAATCTATTGATATATTTTGGTTACTTTTACTTCTTTTCTTTCCCTCTCTATTTCTTGTTGTTTTTCTGTAGTTGCTGTTTTTTACGCTACGGTTTTTAGTAATGTAAGAATCAGAGCAAGTACCTTCCATTAGTAATGTAAAGTAGCGCAAAAAGAGTAATTAGTAATTAGTGATAAACAACGCGACTTAACTGAAGTGTTTTATTGTAGATTGTATTAGTATTGTATTGTCTGCTTCGTAAGTATATTTTATGCATAATGATGATGCAAATAAAGGTGGTAATATAGTCAGTATCGGTTTTAAAATACAGGTGGGGGAAATTGTGAGTTACAGGTTACACTGAACGTTGCACAAATAAAACAATCAAGCTTTTTTATCTAAGGCCTGCATGCCTTATGCAGTCTACGGGTTTTGAGAAATGATACTCACTGCGGCAACCTTAAAAACTAGCTCTTCATCCTGTAAAAATGATTGCGATCACGTTACATCCGATAAATTTAAGTACTCGGAGATCAACGCGGACACAGCACTAAACTTTACACTTACAACTCTTGAAATGAATTATTTATCTTTGGCTTGACTAAATAGTCAGACTTGAACTTGAAAAGCCAGGGCGGGAATCCCTACCAAGAACCCCTACCCTTCCCCCCTCCCCCCTCCCCGAGTTTCATGAAAAACAAATAGGTAACTTGAAATGCGGGTTAAAATATACTCGAGAGGTCTTTGAAAGTTAAAACTCACTTGCCCCCCCCCCCTTTTTTTACTTTCAGATCCTTAATTGCAAGGAACTTCCAGAATATCCTCGGAACATGACTTGTTCAAAGTACAACGTCTACAAACGTAAAGCACCAGGACTGATCACACAGGCAATGATGATGATGAAAAACACATGGAGCTTTACGGTCACAAAACTGGCTCTAGCATGGGAAAAGAGTTCTGACGGAATTGGAACTATGGCTGGTTTAATGTGGAGAGGACTGAAAGGGTTATTGGGTTTGGTCGGTAAAATCTGGAATGGACTCTTAGGGTTGGTGGATCAAGTCTGTGAAATTTGGAGTGGACTGACAGGTTTAGTGGACTGGATTGTTTCTTGGATCACACGGTTGGCCAAAGGGATGTACAGCGGTAGTTTCTGGTTGGCTGAATCGATTTGGAACAATATCGTATATTTGCCACATCTAATCTGGAATGGAACGTTGGGGATGGCGGAATGGGTAAAGGAAAAGATTATATGGTTGGCCGAGATCTCACAGAAAATTGCTTTATGGTCAGCTGGGAAAACATGTAGTGGATCTAGATGGTTAGCTGAGTGGACTTGGATGGAAGCAAAATGGTCTGCGGAATGGATCTGGAAAGTGATTGAAAGGAGTTGTAAACCAATTGAACCTGTGTTTGAATACCTTTGGGAAACAATTGAAGTTGTCACTCAGTTTTACAATGAATATGTTCACGGTGAGTAGAAAGACCAATGAGAAATACCCCGAGCAGTACCCTCTGAGGGTATTTCGTGGGACTACCCCCTTGAAAATACACCTTGAAAATATTCCTGTGTGATAACGACCCAAGATATTATCTCACTTTTAGTTGTTTCATCGGTACGTTATGAAAATTGCTCCGCGTCGATAACATTCATACTATATTTTTGGTTTTTTGTCATCAGAACATGTTATCAAGATTCAGAGCCACCTCGTTTTCTCGACCTGGCGTGAAACCGCTTATACGATCTCGACCGTCTTGGTTCTGAACTGTGTTGTGGTTACCGTTTACATGCTGATTTCGTGGCCTGTAAAGTCGATCTGGCGAAGATGGTAAGTAGAGAAATTCGAAACATTAAGAAAAACACTTAGCTAAGATATTAAGTCAATGGACGGTCCAAAGGTTTTCGCCTATCACTTAAATGAGCGCTTTTAAATCGACTTGTATTCACTTACTGGCACTAACTTCAAATGCTAACCCGTTCATTTTTTCTTTTAGATCCTTGAACGGTGTGTGCGATTGTGAATAAATATTTTGAGTTTGTTTAATGTTTTTGTTGCTATTTTTCTTGACAGGCAAGCTTACAAAGAATGGAAGGCAGCCGAAGAAGCTTCCTGGAGATTACCTCCTAGACGTCAGCCACAACCAAATGAACGAGTCTGGGAAAACCCCAAAAAGAAAAAACTCCACAGAAATAAAAACGAATAAAAGACTCCAGACGTTTTTTTCTTTTTTCATTGGTGACAAACTTTTTTATGAAAAATTTGTGTGGAGACATGGTAATCCGTTTATTAAAATGCATTCATAGACTGTTGAGACAGCTTTAGCAGTTTTTAACCGTCAAACTTTTTCCTGCTTTGATTATGGATGGATGGATGGCTTTATTTAAAAATAAAAATAATGACGGAATTCTATAATAGGCAAGAAGTAATCTTGCTTACTTTGTATTCCTCCATTCCAAGAAGCTTATTATACTTAACCCTTTCACTGCTAAACTCATTGCTAATACTCCTTACTGTCCAGTGTTATACAATTCTTATGATGTTAGTTCAGATAATTTTGTTTTAGATCCAGTGTTATTGCCTTCCAGTTTGCGTGATCCGGGAAAACTACAAAAACAGGAAATCATCAATGTATATTCGTGGAGGTCTCGTTTTAATCTCTTATTGACATCATTATTTTTAATATCTTGAACAATGACACAGTTTGACAAATTAATCGGTGTGCTTAACTAAAATTCTTCCACTTGATTAAGCGTCATAGCGAGTCTACTCTTCTTTAAATCTCTTCCGGCAGTAATTAATTAACGCTTTCTACAATCTGTTTACTTTACCACCTCTTTGAACTGAAAAGTAAGCCATGTTATCTTGATTTAGTAACTTTATGGAGCTAAATCATGAAACATAATAAATACGAAATGACATCAAATTAGTTTTGGCAGAAAAAAAACACAATTACTCTATCTACAACAATATTTACACCAACTTATTACATGTTTATTTGCTGCTAAATGTAGGCGTATAATCCGTTGATGGTACGTAAACATTGTGGCATTTTTCAGGTTATTAATGTTTACTTTAGACGTATTGCTGTAAAGTTTATAACAATTAACTTACAATATGTAATTTGAACGTTAATTTACCCCCGACAAAGTTTTTGACATCCAGTTTCTAGTTAAGGAACTAAAAGATTGGAATGTCGGTTTTTCAGCGTTTTCGATTGTAATTCTGTACTGAGAAATTCTATCACGTAAGATTAAACATAAAGGCCGTACTGTAATTAAGACGGCTGTTCTTATTCCTTAAAAACTGACAAAAATGTTACTTTCCATTTCTTGCCTTCGTCTTAACTTGCCTTTGTTCTTCCTGCTTTCCTCAAGAACTCTGATGCCAGCGAACAGTCGATCGCCGAAACTACGGTGCGCCGGCCTCGCAGCACTGAGCATGTATATCACCGTATCCTGACGTCTTATTTTCTGTCTGCCCTAACAAAGCCATCTTTCAGTCCCCGATCAAAAACAGTCCATATTCCATATTTATTTAAGAGGGAAAAATCCTTCCTTTGGAAACTGGTACAGATGGTAACTTTCTCCTGGACTTAACATTTGTAACCTGTTCCTTGTGAACTTCTTGAAATTCGCGATCTGTCTTTTGTGCCGGCAAGTCTGCAATATAGCAAGGCTGTTCAGAGACACTTAGTGGCTTTGCCATCTGGTGTTCATCGCACTGATAAGAAGCCATCCGAAATCGACTCTCTTCTATGTCACGTAGATTTTGAAAAATCATGCCCAAAGCTTTTTCCATTTCCTTTTCATAATCAAAGGAAGAGCTGCTTTTCTTTCGTACTCGATCTTTTGCGTCCATAGTCTCAAAGTTCTGCATTAAGTTACGCACTGTTGAAGAAGCACCTGACCCTTATCTCTCACTAGTAACCAAAACTTGAATCCTAATTAACTCTTTATAACCTTTTGTCAGCACGTGTCAACTTTAAAACTTCTGTTTGCCAGTCTTTGAATTCAGGCTAAATCAGTGATAACAAAGTCTTTTCAAATATTGTAAAGCATTTAAGAACACGAATACTTCCCATAACTGAATATTTCCCATATCAAATTAAACATGACAGTCACGATTAAGCCAGATTATGTTAACATCACGCCCACCAAACGCGCGCTACTCGATCGTGCGTGGATGCATGCGAACCATTGGAATGCATCAGTAAAACCATTCAGTTCTCGCTTAGCAAAGGATTGGAGTCTATATTGTTTTGTCTAGAAAAATAGTTAAACAAGACATAGTAAATAACGCCGTGAGTTTCATTGTGTGACTGTAATGTTCGGCTACGCTTAGATGATTTAGCACAACATTAACAGGTTTTCAGAGCCAAGTTTTCATTAACGTTCCCGGCATGACATCTTTGAAGTGTCAAGTATGTCTTGAGTAAGTAACATTCCAAATTAAATTTGATTTCCGCTGGTGGAAGTGGAATGGGGGTTTCCATGGTGACTTAAGTTGTATCGTTGGGGACGGGAGAGGCAGGAACTTGTAAGCAGACAAAACGACACAAAAAAACTCAGCAAATTGAATAAATGAATGAGAGCGAGCCCCACTAGGCAGCCGCATTCTTGCCAAACACCTATGTAATTTCCTATGATCTTGTGATTCGAGGTCAATTCCCATTTGGTCTTCCATGTCTCCAGCGCTCGAGGCCATCTTCAAAAAATCCATCAGGCTCTCATTTCTAACTCCTGGTAATGTTCCTATATTTTTTCCCGGATTGGCCGATATAATTAGCCTATCATTATCCATTACGACAATAGAGGGGACGGCGAATTCTTTCTAATATGGTTCCTCAAGAGAATATGAACAGTTTATAATCTTTTTTTTTCAGGTCCTATTTACAACTACTCGTTTCAGTAGTGTTCTTAGCTGCGAGGATCTCTTAATTTCATCTCTCCACCGCAGTGCAAATATATGAATTTTCATATATCTAAAATCTTTAGTTTATAATCTCTTAGGTTCCATCACAAATTTTCTGTTTACCTACAAAAGCAATATGTCATGTTCCCCTTATGCAATCAAATAGCTTTAAAAAATGAGGAGAACTTCCCCTCACTATAAATGAGCAGAGGAATACTTTTGTCAAAAAAAAAAAAATTTGCAGGTTCATGATTTAATGTATTTATTCATGAGGGTATTTTTAGATGCCACTCGACTTTTCTGTGGTTTTTAAGTATTTCACGGTCCTCCAAATTGTTGCAAAATAGGACGGCCATGGCAGTTCAGTTCAGGTCACGTCCACTCGTATAGCATTGTTTAAACGAAGACGTTCCTTAAACCTGTATTTAACTGCATAAAAATCACAAGAAAAGGATTCCATCGGATTTCCTGATCTTCGTACATCTTCGGGTTTACGAATTGTGATACGGTTGGTAAACAGATCAATACGTTTAACTACGTGTTTCCGTGTCGGACAGTCGTGAAGCTACAAACACTCACGTCACAGCTTATCCGTTCAGTGTATGATGCCTCTAATAATTTTACATTTAAGCTTTTCTTGTGCAATTATACTAGGCAGTTGCGTACCTTCGGGCACGCGTTCAAGGAATCTGTAAGCGAAAAGCTATTTACATTGTACTTACCGCTTAGTTCAATGAATTCGTGTGGAGGTCAGAGAAACGTTGTGTCGTATGACAGATTACACGCAATAAAACATATTCCAAGAGCTAAAATACCATCAACATGATTAGTTTCAATCGGTGATCTGTTGTGGGCACTATTTCAAAACCTCATTCTTGGTTGTCAAGGTGGCTGTTAAAGCCGGTTCAAAAAAAAAAATTGAAAACCTTTTAACTTCGAAACAGATTTCCTCATCAGCTAGTTTGGAACAGTTAACGAGTTTTGTTTTCGCTTCCAATTCAGTCCGGGAACGAATGTTCGACTGTAAAAACCGTCCAGGGGTCTGTTTACAGTTCTTTAGCGGACGTTGTACTTCCTGGAGAAAGTTTAGGCTCCATGTAGACCAATTTTATCTCGTTCATTCTTTACAGCAGAAGACTTATGAACTGTTGTAACTTGTGCCAGGCGAACTAGCTGCGTAAGTAGCTTTTTTTGAAGTTTCCGTGCCGGCATTTCGTTCCTTTTTCACCTCTTCACACCTCTGTGGAACACGAACACGCCGAATTTCCTCTAACGCACGTAAATTGCAAAAAATCGAGTTCAAACATTTCTCCATTTCTTTTTCGTAGTTCATTTTTTCATTATCCTGATTGCCAGCTTTGTTCCTTGCATTCATGGCCTTGCAAACTATCATGGCGTAGATTCAAAGTTTAAGGTGAGCCAACTTTCCTCAAGCTGTTATGATCCGCATTCACTTTTTATATCAACCCTGTCAGTTTTTAGGCTTAAGCTTTCACCTCGGTCCATTAGTTACAAATTAATGTCCTTCAAACTCTACAAAACGTGAAGTGTAATTAACGTCTATACGGCGCTGTGCGATGGTGCAAAATTCTTGATGCACGCCATTGCAGAGCCTCTCTCTTCCCAGTTAAAAAAGTCGATGCCGTTGTCTTTCTGTAAAAAAATAATAAAGCTGCCATCAATAAGCAACGAGTTTGTCAAGATGAACTTTCAAATACTGACATATGTCTTGAAATGATTTCGAAATTCAAGAACGTGATAACTTCAATAATCTCAGCTTATGCATATTGATGGTATTTAAGAGTATGGAACCGAATACACCAATCAGAAACGATAACAAAACATTCTTCTTCCTCCACAATATATTCGGGTGCAAGTCTCGCGTTCGTCGCGCGGAGGTTCGGAGTTTGAGTAGTTTGAAACTTCTAAGTAGCTACTTGATAATAAGTTAAGATTCATTCCCGGCGGGTTGTAAACCCACCTCTTGTACGCGTTAATGGCTTGAACCGCACCCGTGTGGGTGTCGTGAATAATCACTTGCAACATAATATCTTCGTTTAACAGTTTCCATAAAGAGCACTGAGGATCGCAATTAAACGTTGATATAACTTTCCATTTCCTTTTTCAATTAATATGTTGTATTCTTTTGCATGGTAGACTGATTCAAAGTTACTGCCTAAAGTGCACGTCCTTACTTCTTACAACATCAGTCCATTTATCAGAATGAACGATTATCGGACAATAATTGAGACTAGAAAACGTGTTCAACTTTACAAGCGACTCGATATTTCGCGTTATCGTTCTAAAAAATAACATTTGTGGCTAACTGATCGCCATTCGATTAGTTATCATCCGTATCAAGTTAATTTTTTCGGCGTTGTTTTTGCGTGATAGCCCTATGCTTTACAAGTGATATCAATCACTTTATCTGACAGGCCATCAAGCAGGGAATTATATAACTGTTTCCATGCACGGCTGTCGACGATGGTCGACGATGATGTGATAGGCGGTAAAGACAGAGCTAAGCGCGGGAGCCTTTCCACAGGCTAAACAGAGGGCAGTAAGAGGTCTTATATGCGGAGGTAACCGGTCAAGTCAGTCAAGTCTTAAATGACCCACGTATAGTCGCGCTTTTGTGCTCCCGAACAAATATTTGCATATCTTTTTAAAGTCTGTTTGTTATTCCTCCCACTTTGGATATTTTTTCTTTAAGAAGTCCGGCCGAACTTTGGAGGTGACTAAATTTCATCGTCAAAAACTACATAGTGCGGTTGTTGCTACATAATGTTGTTACGTACTCCTTCACAAGCGAACCCAAAATAAATTTTGTCAATGCATGTGTGGTAGCCAAGGCAACGGGAGGAATATTCTGCAGACAAAATGGCTACATTGGGTTCGGGAGGTGAAGTAGGGACTGTTGTCTTCTTGGTTGTATAGGAACAAAAGCCGTTCTAGGGAGAAGCAAAATAGTGGAATTGTAGGGTTCATAGCCATGCATAGATAGTAAAAACACTGAACCATGCACGAGAAGATTCTGATGCGGTACGTACTCGACTAAAATGATGTTTAATTGGTTTTTAAGTGTACTTGTCATATCGTGTTTCTGCACGGATTCAAATGCCTTAACAATCTAATTAGGTTGCATTTAGCTGAGTGTGTTTTAATTAGAAGATCAGAAACTTTTCCATATTCAATAAGTTGTATTAATAAACTCACTGCTTGTGCCTGGGGCAGTTTTTCTAGAAGAAGAACGAATTCAAATTTAAGGAGGCGTGAAATAAAGACATGCATCTGAAATGTCTAAATGCCACAAGCCATGACTTGATAAATGCTCGAAGTGGAATTCGATTGGCTGTGAATATTGTCGGCATAAAGAATAAATTAAGCTAAAGATCAGTTTTACAAGCCAAACCATTTCAAAGTTTTCAGGCGTGAAGCTGGCTGCTTTGAAATACACTTGCAGTGACAGATTACAGTTCTCTCGACAAGATTTTCGCTCAGTTTTCGATTACATTGTCATGAACAAAGACAAGGCCAAGAAACAGACACAAATCAACCCCAGCGATGGGACAAGTTTTGAAAAGGCCATGAGCGATGCATTCAGTGAAATATTTCAGAATCTCAAGGAGATCAAAGCAGACAATAAAAAACAACGAGAGAAAATAATTGATCTCGAGAGAAGGAGAGGTAGTGCCCCTGCCGCTTTGATGAGACGATCGTCGGAATCTTTGCAAGAACCAAAGAAACAAGTTGAATTTGACAGGTCATTGTCTTCACCTTTTCACGACTGAGTCAGCCTTTCAAAGGGTTTCCGTGATGAATCGGAAGGACAGGGCGGGTTTTAAAATAGACCACTGCCGCCATTGAATCAAGACCATCGACTTGTACAAACCCTGGAACTGCGAGGATAGTTGGAGGTTTCAGGGCCCATCTTTATAGAGGGCGTAGATCTTTGGCGAGATATCTCCCGTTAGAATAATGCTAAGTTTTCAACGATGTAAAGTAAAGTTTGGCTTACCTCACTCAAAGTTAACCCACCGGCGAAATTTTAGCTTACGGCTATGGAAGACTGATGAACAACCTTGCATCATAATATAAATAACTTGAAATTATTTCGCCCTTGCTTGATTCATTTGTGGTTCTAGTATTGAAACATCCTATCGTAACATTTTTGTAAGTTTTTCTCCAATTTGATAACGGGCAGTAATAATGGGGTAAGTTTCTAAAGAAAGTGTGATGCGACGTTGGTGGGGTGTTACATCATAATTTAGCTTCATCAACTGAGTTGAAAATATAAATTGACCACTGTTAAGAGTTCAAGCAGACGTTTCGGGTTTTAGCCCTTCGTCAGAGCGAAGGACGTAGCTCTATAAGTGAGATCATTGTTTTCCCATCTGAGATGAAACTTTGCATTTGCACTCGAGAGCTTTAACAGGGCAAAGTTACACAACTTAATCTTCAATCGTTTTGCTTATTCGATGAGTTAAGAACCAGCCTATGTTAGGAGGCTTTGCTAAAAGAAATTACCAGTTACTTTTGACGAAGAACTTTAGTGAAACTTTGAGGATTGCTTTGCTCCGTAAGTCAGAGAGTTTTTTTCTTTAGTAAGGCGTTAGGAGGTTTTGCTAAAAGGAATATCTAGTAACTTTTGACGAAGAGCTTTGATGAAACTGTGAGGAGTGCTCTGCTCTTTAGGGAAGAGAGTTCGTTTCTTTAATCAAGTGTCAATATTGTTATGATTATCGAGCGTACGAGATTGAAGGAAAAACTACAAAGTGAAACCTACGGCACAAATTCAACTAGATTTAACTTTCGTAGGCAGGTGAAGAGGTAGATATGGTTGGCTGATGATGAAGATGTATTTGTGAACACTCTAGTCAGAATATACCGAGAAATCTGAACAATTTCTGTGAACAAGATATAAAACTTGTAACATAATGAAAATGTTATTCGAAATCGTAGAAACCGTGAAAAACTATGTGCAATAATAGATAAATTGGTGTTCGTGCTAATAATAATAATAATGATAATAATTTATTTACTTCTATAGCGCCCTTTAACATTTATATGATCAAAGGCGCTTTATGTATGTAGAGCAGATGAAATTAAAATGTATTTTTAGAAAATGATAAAATCATAGACAAAGGTGGTGGGTTTGTTGTTTACTTCTTGGGGGCAATGAGGCATAGAACAGGCCAAGCGCTAAAAAAAGTTGATAAATTTAGAAACATTCAACAGATTGTATCGGTTTGAATACCTCTTCGCTAGGTTTCTTGTATAGCTTGTCTGGCGACTGACGTTGATCACTTCGTTTCTTTTAAATGAAGTAATAAACTGCCCGCGGGTTGAGCTATGATTCTCGGCGTCAATTGCCTTATAACTGCCATCAAGGATGTTTATTTTTAGACTCGTGTGCACGATTTCTCTCTACAAGGAGCTGGAGCTAGCTGGGATGGGTTGTGGATCACAAATTACTGAACAAATTTGTCACAGATTCGAGAATTTTGAAGTCTGCATGTAATATAAAGAACATTAATCAAACCACCAGTTAGGCGAGCTAACTAATGGTTGTGGTAACGTATGCAGAAGAAAGGTCGCACCACAGTAAGGTCAGCCGTAAGTGAGTCGGCACAATACATGTCGGTAATAAATTCCGGCGGGGGCTGCTCGAATATGTTCTGAGTGTACCGCCGGATCTTCAACTTTGAAGCCCGTTTTAGAGAGAATTTGCGATGAGTCTAGAGACTTAGTCCATTTCAAGAGTGTTATCAAATGAATAGGTACAAGACACTGAAGTACAATAACATGTCTTTCTGTTCGCAGTGGTTTGTTTGGTAGCGTATTTTGTTTTGTAAGTTCTTTCTGAGAAGATACAAACAGCCGCTGTTAATATGGAGTTTTTGTGCATTTAAAACCAAGCCCTGCTCCAGAAGACCTTACTTAGTGGGGGTCTCCTCTCTTAAAGGAGAGGTCAGGGGTAAAATAAGCGGGCTCGTGCTCAGGTGTAAAAAAGGACCAGCAAAAAAGGATGTTAAAGGCCGATCACGATCCTTGGTGTTTACACCCCTCCCCGGCAGGTTTTTTTGGGGGGAAGGGGGAAAAAGCGCCCCTCCCCCCCTCCTTTTCAGAAGCAAGTAAAGTAAAGGTTATGACATTTTCAAAAGTAGCTTATTCTTTTATCGAAAATGAGCAGAAGTTGTTAAAGATGATCCCCTGCAGAGTAAGTTATGCTAGCAAGCATAAGTGGTGTCTATGATTGACAAAGCATGGATGACGAAGGACTGAAGAAAAATTGCATGTATTTGAAGTTTTATAGGCATAAAAATAGAAGTGAGAATTTTTTAGGACTTATCCTGGATAAGTTTGTATAGAATGCCAAATTACCAGTTATAGCATTTTGGGATCAGCTGGTCAGTCTCTAGCTACGTGTCAGGGCATCGGCCTTTTCACACCCCATTGTTCACCACTTTCACGTAAAGTAAGAACATTCAGTCGATCTAAAGCAAAGAAGAGGCTTCAAATTGTTCTTCATATCAATGAAGTTATTCTTGCTCTTACGATCACCAAACTAGTAATGGTCGATACAAACAGCTTTCCTAAGAGCCTGTTACACTGGCTCTTACTAAGTAAAGACGAGCGAAAAATGGCAAGTTAGCCGGCGCAATGGAATCGTTCTTTAACTGTTGGAAATAGCATATGCTTAGGTTTAATTCCTT